ATTATGACCATACATGGTCACCACGATGTAAAAAAGATGTTGAGACTCTAGAAAGAATACAGAGAAGAGCAACAAAGATGATTAGGGGACTGGAGGCTAAAACATATAAGGAACGGTTGCGAGAATTGGGTATGTCTAGTTTAACGAAGAGAAGGACAAGGGGGGACATGATAGCAGTATTCCAATATCTCAGGGGCTGCCATAAAGAAGAGGGAATTAAGCTATTTTCCAAAGCACCTGAAGGCAGGACAAGAAGCAACGGGTGGAAACTAATCAAGGAGAGAAGCAACCTAGAACTAAGGAGAAACTTCCTGACAGTGAGAACAATTAATCAGTGGAACAGCCTGCCTCCAGAAGCAGTAAATGCTCCAACACTGGAAGTTTTTAAGAAGAGACTGGACAGCCATTTGTCCGAAATGGTGTAGGGTTTCCTGCCCGAGCAGGGGGTTGGACTAGATGACCTCCAAGGTCCCTTCCAACTTTACTATTATTATTATTATGGTGACCCTATAAAGAGAGAAGGATAATTGTTTCATTGTGCTTTCTCTTAACAAAGAGAAGTATGTTGTGATGACAACTCAGCTTTCAACAACTTGAAGTGGCCCTGTGGTTCAAAACTACCATAATTCTCACCTGGTTTTGAATTGGATTTGGATGTTAAGTTTGACTACTTAGTAAAAATTTCATGTCAGAATTTGGGGAAGTGGGTGGTAGATGCTCCTCTTCAATCTGGTGATCTTTCAGTATGATGCATTATTTTACACAATCCATTCCCTAATAAGCTCCATAGTGAAGTCCAAGTGAGCATTCTTATCAGATAAGAACCATGTCACTGAGAGCTATTTTATCTATATTATCACATTAAGTCTTCCATAAATTCAAAGACAGCATGTAATAAATTTAATCAGAAAAATGTTTTCTAAAAGCATTTAAGCGTATTGTTTTGACAGACGGTGCCAGAATTGATTCATATAAAAGTAAAAGATTTGAAAGCCATATTCAGCCAGCAAAGAAAATTTACTATTTTGCTGCCAAAAGAAATGTAGTGCGATTTGCAAAGGAGTATTCCACTGGAGAAGCAAATGTACCCTTCTGCTTCCAGATGAAACAGATTTTCAGAGGGGAAAAAAGTTGTATAATAAAGAGTCAACTTTTTGACATGGTATATTATAGGGAGTAAAAGAACTTGGCAAATCTCCCAGACAAAAAGCAATCTACTGCATGCCACTGAATTTGCCCTTAAAACAGTGCTTTTCTCAACTGACAGTCAATGTTTTGTCATTTCCAAGGTACAGTTAAAGGGAAAGTTGCAGTTATCATCTACCAATGTTCCTATGATATAGTGTCAGTTTTTTCCCCAACTGCTGATATTTTGAATCCAGTCCTGGTTTTGTTAAAATTATGAATTGGGAAGCTACAACCCTATGTATGTTTCCCTTCAAGCAAGTCCCACTGACAGCAGTAGAACTTAACTTTTCAGCACAAAGTGCAACACCACATTACAGCAGGGGCCAGATAATATGCCAGTCTGCCAGCCAGTCAACCATGTTTAAGTTTGGCCCACTGTGTAGGTGGGCATATATGGTTTGATGTGCCATATAAATCCAGAAATGGATTTAATTAGGTTAGTTGATCAAAGCATGGTTAGATAAACCATTGTGAAGGCATCATAGAAACACAATCCGTCTATATTATCTTATTCAAAAGATTAAAATGTGTCTCTTTGCTATAACATATCCTTTAATAATGTTTCTTATGATACGGAGGGTAATTTTATTTTTTGGTTCACCTTCATCTACTGTTAGTTGCCAGAAAGTCTTGCCTTATTTAAATTACAAACAACTTTATCACATCCATCTCTGAACATAGTTGAATTTGAATTGAAGGAACATAATTAGCCAGGGATGCCAATGAAAAATGCAACTGAGTAATCAGCAGAGTCATTATATCTACCCCAATAGACATATTTCCCTGAAATTAAGTTACAATTTAATAAGAAGAAATTGCTGCATTGTAAATATAGTTAGGAATATATCATTAATATCACGATTGGAGCTCATTTATTTATACTGTAAATTAAATAATTTTATTTGAAAAAATAAAACTCAACTATAATTTCTATAAACTAAGCTACCTAAATTTTAACATACAATTTGAACAGGGGTACCAGATGTGGGCTGCAAAGAGTCAGGTGATCACTAGATGGCAGCAAAGATATTTGGTTGGGTTTGTTTGTTTGTTTGTTTGTTTGTTTTGCCTTTTCTTTGCTGCCCTCTGCTGATAGTCGGATTTGTTGCAGCCGAGATCGAGTAGCTGCTTCTCTAATTTCAGGTTAACAGGACAGCTTCCATATTCACAAGATATACAATACCCATGGTTTAATATGCATTTATATATTTATTTTACAATGTTAGCATATTGCTGCAATCTATTAAGATTTTGAGCAGGGTTCGCTTTAGGAAAACCATCGACATAAACATGCCAAATCATGTACATGTAATGCTAAGTGGTGAAGACCATTGAAATAAAATAATACTCCAAGTCATGAAAAGAGAAGTAATCAGATGTACTTGTAGGAAAGCCTATTCCATGAAGAAGAGTATGACTGACAAGGCCCAGCCAGCCCTTGGTCTACATACCCTGCACTTCATATGGAGCTGCGACTCTCCAAAGGCCCTGTTTAGATGTTCAGATTAGATGGATAGGATCATTCATGATATAATAGCCTTGATGTATCCATATTCCAGACTATGTAGAGCTTCTTAAAAGGTAACCACCACTTTCCTAGATACTTGCTGGCAGATTGATGCATAGTTTGCTAACACTATTCACTATCCCAGGGCTCAGCAATTCTGGGAGCTGAAGTCCACGAGTCATAAAAGAGCCAAGGTTGCCTACCCCTGCACTATCCAGTCTAGTTTAGTAGGCTGTAAGAACTCATGCAGTGAATTTTAAAACAAGTATATCCTTCCCGTCAAATTCAATCCATTGTTACAATAGGAATTACATATATAGATTCCCATTTTTTTTCATCATTGTGAGAAAAAAATACAACCCATGAACTGAAGACATAAATGGGATAGCATTTTTGTATCTAAGTTGTCAGTTCCAAGACTGGCTTGGAACATTATTGTTTTCTTCTAATCAATCATGTCCAGCTAAAGTTTTTTTTTTTTTTTGCAAAGTTTTTTGAAAATGGTTTGCCATTGCCTTCTTCCTAGGGCTGAGAGAAAGTGACTGGCCCAAGATTACCTAGTTGGCTTTATGGGCATGATAGGACTAGAATATACAGTCTTCCAGTATCTAGCCCGACACTTTAACCACTACACCAAAGTACCTCTCCTAATATAAATAGTATTGGATTAAATGACTTAATGCAGTATAAGATTCCATTCAATATATGAATTATAAATTTACAGTATGAGCATTCTCCTAGAAAATTACCTCTACAATAAGTATATACCTATATCCAAACTCATAACTAGGGGTGTAAGGATTTTATTCATCTTTATTAAGATCAAAACTCCAGCAACTGATTTTTCCAGTCTCATGGGCAAACATGGCCTTATTTTTATTTTATTTTATTATGAAACTATTTTAGTGTAACACCAATATGAAGTTTGGGAAAAAGGAAGTATGTGATTGTCCCATTTACCTTGTAAATGTACACACAAAGGTTTACTAAAGTGTACAACTATTCACTTTGTGAAACAAATATGGAGTTTTATATGTTGTGCTCAGTCCAGATGGGTATTCATTGTTAATTCTGACTCAACAAAACAAGACTTTTTGAAGAGGAAGGAAATGGAGATAATTTTTGTTTTTGTGCAGCACTTAATCCCTTCCTGATTCCAGTCCAAACCATTTCATCTTAATCTTCCAGTCCTTTTCCTATATCTTTCGTTTTCCATCCTACTACATTTGTTCACAATCTTGATCCATCTTCTATAAATTAGTGTGTCTTTATTATTGCTATGTAAAAACAGACTGTGGACAAGTCCTTGGATAGATGCCACACATTACTCACCTCAAAACTGTGAAGATTTAACTCGTATCTTAATGAGTAACATGATCTATCTGAAATGTTGCAGGCTTAATACCCACAAGGGTGGCAACAATGCTTACAATTTTTCAGTTCACACACATACTAACACAAACCCATATACACACAGTCTTTGTCACTCATATACAAATATATTGGCATTTCCTTGTTTTAGAAAGCACTAAAAAATTAGAGAATATTACAACAAAAACACACCAGTCCTTAGTTGTCTGAATTCTGATTTCACATCCTCAAAAGGATCTACAGTTAAATGTCATCCTTTTGACTGGCATTTACAATTAACAGGAAGCATGACACTTCAAAATTTTGAATCTCAGTTCATATTCATCCCCAAGTCAACTTGGAAAGCATCCATGTCAATCTAAGGAGTATTTGACTCTTTTAAAACTTGCCTTATTTGGGTCAAACCAAATGTTATGTTCACTGAAAGATGTTAGTTCTCAGGATTCACTGACAGAGGTTTTCTAGACATCAATGTGAAGACAATTCTACTGATAGAAATACCACCAATAGCTCTGAACTATACCCAGCATCAATCAATCAATCAACATGAAAAACAGGGGAAAAGGAAATTATTATGTTATATGGGGATGGAAAATTGAGCTCAGACAGCCTTTTTTAAGCTTGGGGGAAAAAAGCTTCTGTGGATTCACCATCCAATCCATTGTTTACAAAGTATACCTATACAGTATGTATAAGAAGAAATATCCCATCTAGGGATATTTTAGGGTAGAGATTGAAGTTAACAATAAAGAATATATTTTGCATCTATCCTGTTCCCAGTTTTACACATACCAATGATCTGGCTTTATAAAAGACACTTGCTTTATCTCTCTCTCTCTCTCTCTCTCTCTCTCTCTCTCTCTCTCTCTCTCTCTCTCTCTCTCTCCTCTGTTTTGTATTTTAATATTAGCTTTGCTACTACTTAAGATTGCCTGTTTTATGTCAACTGAAGGTTAGGGACCACTAGCAGTTAATCAGAAGCATAGAATCCAAAAGCAACTGAAAGTGATCTACCATCCTAGAATCAATCTTTTTTGAAAAAGTAGAAGTCTACTGGCCTCTGATTTCTGTAGATATGGTGTATGTAATGCTTCTTTGGACATACGAAGGAGAGCAGAAAAGAATACCAATAATAAGTTCAATAATTAAGAATGATGCCCACTTTTTATGTGCATCTTATTCATATGGTTTCAGGCTGATTTTGATTTAGCTCTGCTACATTATTATGTAAAACATCTGCTAATGATAATGTTTCACAAGGCAGACACTGGAAATGGTAGAACAATTTGATCAAAATGGTTGCATTTCTGAGGGGCTTCCCAGCAAACATAGGGCCGCTAACTGCTGATAAACTCAAAGGCAAAATCAAGACCACCTCTGAATCCAAAGAGAAAGCGTAAAAAGTTTAGCTTGTTCTCCAAAGAGATCCTAGCATTACTCCCAGAGCCTAAGAAATCTGTAAAACTTCCATTGGGAATTCTTGGTTTGATGTGAAACTTTCCTGGGAAGTTAAAGGCTGTATGTTGCAAAAACGTGGCATAGGGACAGTGGTTGCTTAAACAAGCATTTGGTTGGACCTAGTCTAATTAACAATACAGCCTGATTCTAGGGAGAATAAAAGAGTTCCGTCGTGCTATTTGTCTTTTTTCACCCTGTGGAAATCTACTTTCTATGCTCCATTTCTGGAAACTGACAGATACCAAAACAGTCTGACAACTGAACTATTTATAGTTCTGTCACTATCCTTCTAATGTCTCCCCTGCCCATTTAGTCCAAGGTCGAAGTCTGGACAGGTTCTTCAGGTTTGTTCAGTGTTCCTTTCATTGTGGCGATTTGTTTTAAACTTAGGATTCATCTCTTCCAGGAACACGGAGTTGCCTGGTGCCTCCTCCAGCCTCTTGGAGATGGCCAAATTCTTCCCAAAGGTACGGGGAAAGGGGGGGGAGGGGAAAGAAGTAGACACTTTGGTTCCAAAAGTTGAGAAGACCGCTCTTCCTCCTCCTTCATCTCTGCTGCTCGACTTTCCTTTTTGCAAAAAAAAAAAAAAAAAAAAACCCAGTAGTCAAGGGGGGGGGGCATTTCCTCCCCAGTTATTTATAATATCTTTAGCTGTCACCTAGCCCCGGCCCGCTGCCCGCCCTACTATAATGGTGCTAAAGAACACAATAAATCTCTCGTGTGGAAATTGCAGAGGGGGGGGGAAAGATCTAAAAACCTGGTGATGATGAGTAGGCAGCCCGGTGCCCTTCGGATCTTTCTTTGGGGGGGGGTGTCTATCTTTCTATCTATGACTTCTGGCTCTTAGCCAGACTGGTAGGAATTGCAGTTCAAAAACAGCTGGAGTACAGCAGAGTGTTTCTCTCTGGTAAGGACAGGTAAAGTTGCCCAAAGCAGGAACTCAGGAGTAAATGGCACAATTCCCACGTCACCATCCCCCCCCCCAGCCCTTGGTTGAGAGCTGCCGCGATCAACAGAAAAAAAAAAAAAAGCAAGCAAGCAAGCAAACAAACAAAACCCTTCGCCTGCTTTTTCAGAAGCCCCTCCGCTTCTCACAAACCCAAGTTCAGGAGTGAAACCCGAGGAGCCCTTGGCAGAGGGGAACGTCGGGTCTTTCTGCTAGCCCTCTTCCCCCACCCCCACCCCGACCCCCGACCCTGCAAACTTTCTTCCCTTTTTCCACGATTCGAATTCAACCGGCTGGTCAGAGAGACCCGAAGCCAGCTTTGGAACTCTTTCCTCGGGGGCAGCCTTTGCCCTTGCCGGGCGCCCTCCGGTCGGCTCCCTCCACACAAGCGGGACTCGGAGGCAGGCGCGCCCGAGGCTCGATCGTCGGGGAGAGGCGGAGGCCGGGGAGAGGAGGCGGCTGCCTGGAGCGGAGGGGGTCGCCCCGGGGAGAAGCCTGGAATAATTAAACAAAGTTGCAAATCAGCAAAGCCTTCGGTGGCGGAGTCTCTTTCCTCTCCCTTTGCTTCCCTCCCCTCCCCCCCCTCCCAAGGCCCGAAGGTGGTAATTAAGGTCCGGGCGAGAGCGCCGGCCGGGTCACCTCCTCTCAGAGACCAGCCCTTCTTTCAAGGGTCCTTCTGCGCGGCCAAAGACGACAACGGCAAATCAATAAGCGCTTGCAATGAAAGGGCGCTCCTGCCTGGGCCCCGAGGCGACAGATTTTCCCACCGCCAGCCTGCCCCGCTTTCCCTCCTCTTCGCCGCCGCCTCCCCTGCCACTTGTGGCATTCCGCCGCGCCGCGCCGCCCCGTCCAGGAAGGGCCCCTTCCGCGCCTCTTCTCCGGACCCAGGTAAGCGCTCCCGGAGCGGGCTTTTCTCACGCCGCGCCCGAGCCGCCTGCCTCCCGCCGGGGCTCGACGGCCCGGGAGGAGGGCGGGGGAAGGCGCGGGGAAGGCGAGCGGCCGGGCTAGAGGGCGATCTCGGATCTGGAGCGGCGGCTCTGGCCGCCGGCAAAGGCGGCGGCCCGGCTGGCGCGGCCACCAGGCGCGGAAAGGGGTCTGTCTGCCTTTGTGGATTCGCTTTGGTTTTTCGAGAAGACTCCGGAAACTGGGGGTGGGCGGGGGGGGAAGGATCCCCCTGTTGTGTTTGCATGGATTGTTGCCTTCTGCCCGAATAGGTCCGGATTTGAACAATATTTCCACCTCCGCATTGTCTCTGTGTGTGTGTGCGCGCGTGTGTGTGTGTGTGCGCGCGCGCGTGTACGTGTGTGTGTGTGTGTGTCTGTCTGCCGGGGTATTTCCTAATTCTTTTCACTTCTTTATTAATTCCGAGCGTCGGGATGGGACGTTTTAATGAGGTCGTTCATTACTGAGTCAAGACAGACATTTATATATTCTCTTAGCTGAAGTATTTAAGCGTCCCTGCTTTCGCCATGAGAATAGGCTACCGGAACACAGGAGGGAGCTGGGTGGGTTTTAATTTATATGCAAATGAATGGGTCCGTTCGAAGGGTTTCCCACCCCCCCCCCGTCTATTTGTATGGAATCGAGATGCCTAGACGAGTAATACGAAAATAAAATCATAAAGAATATATGGAGGAGGAGGAGGAGGAGGAAGAGGAGAGGCAGAAGTCATAAAACAAAAGTGCTACGCGTGTGTTGTAAACTTGTACCCCATTCGCAAAATTGGAGGAAGAAGGACGAAGACTCGACAACATAATTCAAAACTGGGGGGAAATAAGTAGAGATTCACTCTTTCACACTGATTAATATTCACCTGTCTTCAAATGAGCCAGTAAAGATACAAAATCAAAGATATGGTGTTTTTTTCCTTACTGCTGACATTTCTTCTCTTTCTCTTCCTAGTTTTCATATTTATCTCAATTCCTTGATGAAATCAGTTGAATGTCTGTAAATAGAATTCTTATCAGGCATCCTCTTCATTTTTTTTCTCATTAGAGTAAGGTGCTAAGATATGATTTTAATGTACTTAAGCTACTATATCAAACATTTTTAGTTTGCATTCCCATCCGAAAATGCTTCCTCTGAAACAACGTTTTCTCCCCTCTTGGACCGCTAACCGATCAGCAACATGTTTTTCTTTCCGGTATTTGGTGTGCTTTAACTGTGATAGATTTTTAGACATTCTTATTGGGGAAAAATAGACAGATGTTAGAGCAGCATTTTTTCAATATCCGTAGTCAAACTAACAGAAAAGATTTACATTCATTTAATTAAGAGAAATTGATTTCAAAAAGATTTCATTCTTGGCTAAGAGGCAATTGCATTCTTTGCCCGTTTGTTTGGGAATCGGTAGCTTTGAACTTAATGCAGTTTACCAAATTTCATAGCACCGAGTTCTGAGGATTATGCTGCCTGGATTCCATCTCATGGTCAGTCCCGTTGAAGTTAGTGGGAATTATTTCCTACTAAGCGAGGTTGTGCATTTCCAGGATCAGCATTTTGATTAAGAACAGTTTTTAACCATCAATTTAAATAAGTATAACCTAAAGGCAGTTAAAATCGTTTCTGGAATCTGGAAGGGAAAATGATTTGTGAACGCGTCCAACTGATTCCGGAAGCCAAGGGCTTGTGTTTAGTTTGTTTTAGTCCGATCATCACCTTTTGAAGAAATAATGTGTTTTTTTTTTTAAGAATCGCTCCCCGCAATATCAGTGGATTGGTAGTCAGTTAGTAGCCATTATAACTAATAGCCAATTAAAATCGGCCTTTGGGAATCTTTCTGGAGGTCTTTATTTTTTTTTTTAAGTATCCTAAATAAACCAGCGGTCCTTTATTGGAAAATCAAACGCCCGAAATTTGCACTTTCAACTAACTCCGCCTGCTTATTAACCAAGACTTCAACCCAGCCTTTGCTCAATTCGAGATTCATGGAAATCCGCGTTAACAAAACTTCTTCGCGGCAAAATGACTTCAGGCGAAGAAGTTTTGCGAGAGCCGGAAAAGGGACCAAAGACGGGGAAGGGATTTTTGGAGCAAGGATGCTTTCGGAGTGTCCTACAAGGGAGTCTCGGATAATAGCCGTATTTAGAAATGGTCTCTGGGAAAGTCGCGCCCTGGTCGTGCAACCCTGGTCGTGCAACCCTGGTCGTGCAACCCTGGTCACCACTGCATCCTCTCACGGAGGTAACCTTGAGATAAGCCACAAGGGTCCACCTAATTAAGACGCTACACACTTCGTTTACGACCGTCTGCCTGCTCAGGAAAGCGGCTGGCGCTGTCTAGGACCGAAAGGGGATAGCGCCTTCATCCCACCCAGGATTGTGTTTCATTTACTGGGAGAAAGAGAAAGGGTGCTGGGATGGGGGACGGAGGGGGGAGGAGGGAGGAGAGGGAGAAAGAATTAAAATCCGCGCATTAAAGCAGCTCCAGAGTTTCCAGACAACCTTGCAGAACTCCTGTTTCGAGGCAGCCTGTCTAATATATTCCCCAGCGATTCTGGGCATTAATTAGTTGTTTAATAGGAGTATGACTAAAAATGTAAAAGAAGGATTAGGAGCGTGAAACGTATGTCCAGCTTCTTCCACGCACTCGAGGAGGGAATGAAAATCACTCTGTATCTTATGTTTCTCTACCAGCCATTTGCATTTCCCACCAGCTGCTCACTTCAGCTGCACCCATTCCTAGCTAGCGAGAGAAGTGCCCGGCCCGAGCCGTTCTCCGATCTGAAGCCCCGGCATTGAAGGGGCCGAGGGAGGCAGCCCGGGGAGCAACAGGGGCGGGAGAAGAAAGCAACTGGAGTCCGACTGGCAGTCTGGCTAGGTAGCACAGACGGAGAGCCAGCCAGCCAGCCAGCATTGGCTGGGACTTGGGGGGGGGGGACGGAGGGGAGAGGCGGAGAAGCAGGTCTGTGACAGATCCTAATTTGAAGTGCCTGAAAGAGGCAAGTGTTGGGGAAGAGGCGCGCATCTTCCAGGGCTCGTGTTGGGAGGAGGAGCAGGAGAAGGAACAGCCCCCCCCCGGTCCTCAGACGAATTCAAAGCAAAGGCAGTCACAACACGGAGGTCTGTTTACCTTGGTTATTTTACCCTCCGTACATTAATTAGGTGTATGAAACATCAGGGTATTCCGGGAGGGCCGCCTGGAAGTTTCTGAAAGCCAAACAAAAGGCTTCATTCTCTCCTGCTCTGCCCACCCACCCCCAGCCCCCACCCTCACGATCCACCCACCCACCCACCCCTCCACTTCACAGAGCGACCGAAAGAGAGATTTCAGGATTAACCCCCGTGGATTTATTTTCCTTCACGTTCCTTATTGCAAACAATGACTCGGGCCCCTGGCTCTTCTTGCCAAGGACACGAATGCGGCTTGATCTGCTCCAGTTTCACACGTGCAGTTGGGAGTGGTGTGTGAACCGCAGTAAAACTACCCGATTCGCCCGACGCAAGGTGCCTGTTGTGGCCTACGGTGCATGTTTGAGGCTTGTAGAATTTGCTAAATACCTTTACCTTTTCAAATAAAATA